ACAGAGTCTTCACCTGTAAGAGGGCCATTAGAAGATAAAAAAGACGGGCACCATACCTTACCCTGACGCGGCGCACTGCTGAGACTCAAATCTAAGCAAATGTTAGATGGGTTGGCCATTTTTCAAAGGTGTTAAAAGAGAAGGGTCGGATGGAGAAAAATCTCAAGGGGCTGTTAAAACAAAATACACCGGAGATGATTTTCAAGAATAAGCAACCTTCAAGATGTGCATGTTGGACGCAATCGATACCTCTATAAAGAGGAGAGGCGACACGACCACCGATTCAAAAATGGAAGAGACACCACTCTTCAAAATCTCAAAAGCCAGATAAAAGGCGTAAGTTAGGCGACGCTTTTTCGGCTTTTCAGAAAACGCGTTCAACTTTGTCAAAAGATCTCTGACAAAGCCGCATCCGCACTACTGTTTTCCATTCAGAAATCAAAGAGGCGCTTGCTCAAAAATCGAAGAAGCATTTGTTCAGAAATCGAAGAGACGCTTGCTCAAAAATCGAAGAAGCGTTTGTTCAGAAATCAAAGAGGTAACACCCTCCGAACCTCAAAAGCTGGGCCGCTTATTCAAGGATCGAAGAGTCATCACTCTCTGAATTTCAAAAGCTGGGCTCTTCCAGATTTGTCATCACCCTTCATATGCAACCCCAGCTTTGCAGAAATCACGGGCAACTTTGTCAAAGATTTCTGACAAAGTTGAGAACGCGTGAATCTTACTGTTCAATTACCCAACAGTTGTCGACAATGGTAAAGGAACAGTACCACCACTTGCTATTGGGAAATCCCTATATATGTCAACCTTCATCTTTTATCGCAAGGCAGACCTGCAAAAAAAAAAAAAAATGCCCAACTCTTCCTCACCTCTGAGGGCGCACTCCCAGCCCTGCTCTCAAGTACTCATCTTCAACTATTGATGTATCCCCAAAGAAGATACCAGATGCCTGGAGTACAGATGAGGCAGGAGGAAACGGTAGATCGAAGCATGTGGAGACAAGCACAACAAATATATGTGCTGATTCGTTCGCTGCTTCTTCAAAAGCAAAAGTATCTCATATCATCAAGGGCTAAAGCAAAGGTATCTCATATCATGCTTTTTCCCTGTCTTTTCCTTTGCCCTTGTTCTCACCTGCCAAGACAAGGACAGAGAAAGCAATATGTCGGAATCTCTACTCAAACTTGCGCTGCCACCAAGAAGTGATGGTCCATTCAAATGCAAGGTTTGCATTCCACTCCTGTATCAGAGGACAAATACTACAAGAGAAGATGCCAAACCTGCATAAGGAAATACCACTTCTGCAAGGGGAGCAAGTAAGGCAAGTGAAAATGATACATCGAAGCATATGGAGACAAGCACAACAAATATATGTGTTGATTCGTTCGCTGCTTCTTCAAAAGCAAAAGTATCTCATATCATGCTTTCTCCATGTCCTTTCCTTTGTCCTTGTTCTTACTCGCATGACAAAGTGAAAGAGAGCAATCAGCCGGCACTTGGAGTCAGTCTTCCGATCTGGAACCGACTACCTGGAATCTATTCCCTGGTTGCTTACCTAGCGTTGCTCTCGAGTAGTCATCTTCAACGGTTAATACACTTCCAGAGAAGGGACCACATCTACTTGGAGAACAGCTAAGATGAGTGACAATGAAACATCAATCTTGTGGATCGTCAGCAAACGCAACAACTGCATATGCTGAGTCATCCTCTAACCCTCTTCAATACGAATTGGAAAGATTGAACAAAGAAACAGGTCATCACCTCCACCTCGTGCTTGCCTGCCATGTGTCTGAATCCTGAAACCGCTCATGGTCCTATTTTCACTCAAGATCAAGCCTCGATGGCCCTTGAAGAAATCACAAGCCTGATTCAAAATCAAGTGTTCACCACCCTTGAATCAAATTCAACTCCAGATAAAAGGAGTAAGTTCAGGCCTTCGGGGGAGACCAAAAGAATTCTCCAGCCCAATTCAAGACTAAGTCTGTGGAAAATCAACAATTGGAGGAAACCAGAAAATCTTCCAGTCGAACTCAAGATCAAGCCTCAATGGCCCTTGAAGAAATTTCTATTCCAATTCAAGATCAAGCCTCGACGGCCCTTGGGTTGACATCTACATTAAGGGACTTCAAAACGCATCTTCTACACGTGTCAAGCACATGTCTACGACGCGCCTTGAAGTGGGGGCATTTGTAGACATCGAAATTTCAGTAAAACAAATGTTCACCAATGCATTAAAGTTTTGACGTGTCAAGGCATACATGGCATACGCCACGTGTTGTACAAATTGTACACATGGCGTGTGACTCAACAAAATAGGAAGAAATAACCTTGAAGGATTAAACAAGTTTTTCTTCTCATTTTGGGCAATGACAAGGCAAGTACATTTCAATCCATTGAGGATCAAAACAAGTTTTTCTTCTCATGTTGGGCAATGACAAGGCAAGCACACTTCAATCCATTACTGATCAAAGCAAGTTTTTCTCATTTGGGTAATGACAAAGCATACACATTTCAAGTTTAAAATGATGTTAAGTGGGAAATTAGGCCATAAGTTAGACCACTTCAAGTTTAAAATGGTATTAAGTGGGAAATTAGGCCATAAGTTACACCACTTCAATTTCAATATTGCATTAAGTGGGAAAATTAGGCAATGGTGCTTGGAAAGGAAAAAAATATTTTGTGGTGGTGATTCATTCTCAAAGCCTATAAATAGGCTTCTCCATCAAGGTATCAAGCATCAAGGAATCCACAAATACATTTCTCTACTCTAAAATTAGAAGAGAATTCCCCAAATCCTTGAAGCTTTGAAACTCCAAAGCTTCCAACCATCCGAATTCCCAAGAATTCCGAAGAATCAAGAAAGCTCTCTCTTCGTTCTTCTTTAAATCCTTATTCAAGATCAAGCCCCGACGGCCCTTAAAGAAATTGTTCATCGTTCATCCTAAGATCAAGCCCCAACGGCCCCTTGGATCAACAACCTCAACAAATCCACACATCCAATCGTTCTTCAAGATTAAGCCCAAAAGCCATTGAAGATCCGCTCATCCATCAACCTTCAAGATCAAGCCCAAAAGCCCTTGAAGAAATCCACACAACCATTATTCAAGATCAAGCCCCGACGGCCCTTGAAGAAAGTGTTCATCATTCATCATCCGTTCATCAACTGTTCATCCTTAGATCAAGCCCCGACGGCCCTTTGGATCAACAACTCATCCACAAACCTACACCCTACGAAGATAGAATCAGAGGACCAAATTTGAGAGAGATCGTAACCCCAAAATCATTAAACACAAAATATTATTTTGTACACGTTATTCTTGTTTCTTGTTTCAAGGAACTTTCGTGTTCACAGTGGGATCTTACACTTGAAATGTAGTAGTCTCATGGAGGATAAAGTCCCCATCGGAAATGCTCTAATAAGTTAAAATCGTGAAAAATTAAATCTTAATTGTTAAACTGATAAGGTTAACATCGTCAACATACAATCAAAGATTTAAGGTATAATATAGCTATCCAATTTCGATGACAGTCGGTTATTTCTAAATCAATATCTAAAGATCATGATAATGTTAATAGAAAGATCAACAATTTTTTATCTGATTGATTTTTTGCAGAGGTCATGGTCACAAAATAAACGATTTTATCAAGCAACTATGTAGGATCGTAAAAAAAAGAAGGCAAAACGTGAAGGTACAAAGGGAAAGGTACCTAGCATTCTTGAAAATATTCTTATGTTAGGCAAATACCTTATTATATGGTACTAAATACTAGAGTAAAATTTAGGATCTGACCCTATAAACTATCACTCTAGTTTACAATTGAAAAAAACAAAAACGTTCAATTTTTTTCTTTTTTTTTAGAACAAAAGATATTATTTATATCAGGAGGAGGGGGTGACTTTAGCCTCGCAATGGGCTGACAATAACGTGGTTCAAATTCCGTTTTGATGAGAATCGAAAAAAAAAACTCATTAATTTAAACATTTTTATATTTGGACACGTTTCAATAATTTGTTAAATTGTACGTTTTTTATATGAAACCTTGTATGGAGTGACTAAAACAAAACGTATATTACATAGAACTCTACCACTTTTAAATCCTTACATGGAAAGACAAAAAACCACAACACACTAAACCCGTATTCGCCTGTCGAATTGTTATTTGACAAATCTTGTAGCTGGAGGCTACTCAAACTGCCTAGAACCTGGTATTATACACGACAAATCCGGAAAACAGCCCCAAAAACATAACCCCACAAGTTCAAAAGACAGTTGATAAATCATGTTGAAAAACAGAAATAAACTTGAACTGATATCAGTTGCATTCAAGATCAGAGGAGTCCTGAATTCGATTTTGCACCGTCAGAATGTATGGTTAAACATAGCGCGCTCGTCATGATATGTTTTCCGGGCAAGAGCCTTAAAAAAACGCTTTACTTCTTTGATAAACAAACCACACTGTTAGTTTGTTCAGTAAGATTATAACTATATAACCTATTGGCATATGTAGGTTCAAGGACTTGATCAACATTGTTAAGTAGTTGCGAAAAGACTCCAGCTAGTTTAATTTGTTGTCAGTTGGCGAATCTACTGCTTAAGCTTTTGATGATGGTGGTTTTCGGCATGATATCTTTTACGCATTTGTTCATGTCATTGGTGGTAAAGTAGTGTGGGATGGCAGGTCCAAACTTTTCTCCGCAGAGAACAGCAGCAGCCATCACAGATCATTGTAGGAAAATTCAAATTATGATCGTGGAAACAGGGTTATTTGATATAATTTGTTGGGAAAGAAGACTGTTCTATAATCTCTTGTTTTAATGAGTTGTTAAAATTATGATAGTAGTGTAATTGGTTTTTTCTCAAACTATGAATGGTTGGCAAAGACTGTTCTACGGTCTAAGATAGATTTTAGGTATAACAGAACTGAAAGGTGTGTTGACTTGCCCTTTTTTATCCTCTCACTTTGATGTCACCCTTGGGTTGTTTAACTAATTCATTTTCTTAGATAGAAGCTTCATTGTATCTAGAAACTTCGGTAGGAAGCTCTCACACCGGTGGTATCAACGTGGAGTCAAATGAGACCAAAACACAGTGGCATTTGAATTGCACATATGATAGATTTCATTCATGTTTCGGACATCAAATTTACTGTCAGCAAGCGAGACATTTTCATTGTAAACTACTCTAATTTACGTTGAAAGAGGGAAATTCAAAGTTGGGTGCAAGAGGGCAAACAAACTGACCTAATCCACATATGCAAAATAAAGTCGTTTCTAGCCACAAATTACATAATCTCTTTACATTGCCAGCAAATTCCTGAGAAGATAAGTGTGGATACGGTTGGAAATTCACTGAGATTTTTGCCAATTAAAGGAAAGGTAAACTTTTAGTTATGGAAATAATAAGAGGTTGTATTTTTGAGCTGGCCTGTCTCCAACACAAATAGAAGTACAAATTAATATTGAAAGAAAAAAAAAAAAAAAAAAAAACCGATTTTTGCTGTTGTTAAAAGAAAGAAGAATGCCTGGATGTCCCTCCATATTTAGCAACCTTGACCTAGTCTGTTTTGGCTGTCCGAACTCAATGGTTTGGATAGAGGGAGCAAGCAAAAGAAACAATGTGAGGGATCAAGTTCTTGAAGGACCAGAACCTAGCATTCTGGTTTTTCCAGAGCCAAGGCTGTTTTCATAACGTATCAAATCGATATCCCCCGTTTGTCTAACCAATTTCTCAGGCTTGTTTCGTCTGCACTTGTTGGTTTCTTGGATCGAAGCGTACCAAAGTTTTGAATTTTTTTGGTATGTTGTGACTGGTTTTTTTCCAGGAATCCATGCAAGATTTGGATGACAATTTGAAGGTGGTTGCAATCGGATTAGAGTTGACGAGGGAAAGAAAACGATGAATTGCTTCCAATGTTGCATTTCAGAAGAGAAAAACGCCAGGAAGTCGTTGAAAAAGAGTATTAAGGAATACCATGACACCAAAACTTTAGCCTCTTTCGCTAACATCTCCTTCAAAACTGGTAAATTCTTCTCTCGGCATAAATCTTCCCTGAAAATCAAATGACACCAGTACGTTAAATGACATACCTACATATAATAGACCTGATTACTCTCTAATAGGGTATGCATCTACGACGAGGACTTATTTTTCAATCGTTAAATAATATGTTACGGATTATAGCATGCATTCGCATATAAAGATTATGTCTTTTAACACTTTGGTCTATCAATCAAGTATTCATATTCAAGGGCTGCAATTTATCAGCTTTCTTACTTTACATATGTACGTACACATACATATATTTATCTTTTATGTACTGTGGAAGATTTCACTTGAAAAATACCCAATTTATTTGCCTTTGGTTTGATGGAGATCTGTCCTTTTGAAGGCTGAGATTGGTTTTACCGTACGAAAATTGGCCTTCCCTCCTTGTTATTTTGGCAAATAATTATCAAAATTTTGACGTAGATTTGTTGAAAATGATCTAATTTGCAACCACAACTTGTCCTGTCTTCTGAAAGTTGGCTGCAGACCCTGATATATACCTTCTAGTATACTAGTAATATTTAGTAGTGTAGAACAGCAATTCAAACTGTCGGCCTCTTAAGTTTGAGAATTTTAACCTGCAGATAGCAGCAGGAGGAAGTACATAGCTGAAGAGATCGCAAAGGTTGGGAAAGGAAACATTACGGCTCAGATTTTTACTTACCGGGAACTTTGTGTTGCAACTAACAACTTCCATCCAGACAATTTGCTTGGCGAAGGCGGTTTTGGGAGGGTTTACAAAGGGAAATTTGAAGGCACAGAACAAGTAGTATTTCCATCCATCTCTCTTCATTTCATCCCTTTTCTCTTTCCCCTGAACATACAATAATTTAGTTGGATCATAACCCCCATTGTTCGCTCATTTCAGGTTGTTGCTGTTAAGCAACTAGACAGGAATGGATTCCAAGGAAACAGAGAGTTTCTTGTAGAAGTTTTGATATTAAGTCTTCTTCACCATGCCCACCTCGTCAATTTGGTTGGATATTGCGCGGATGGTGATCAGAGGATTTTGGCGTATGAGTACATGGCCAATGGATCCCTAGAGGACCATCTTCTTGGTAAGCACCAATTTACTAATTTGCATTTGCACGTTGCCCACACTTAAGTACATATCGGTAACATTCAACAACAAAACTTGGGCTCTCAGATTTAGCTCCAGGAAAAAAGGCCTTGGATTGGAATACTAGGATGAAAATTGCAGCGGGGGCAGCAAAGGGACTTGAATACTTGCACGAACAAGCAAATCCTCCTGTGATATACCGGGATTTCAAAGCTTCCAACATACTCTTGGATGAGAACTTCAATCCAAAACTCTCCGATTTTGGTCTTGCAAAGTTAGGTCCAACTGGCGATAAGACTCATGTATCCACCAGGGTGATGGGGACCTACGGCTACTGTGCACCTGAATATGCACTAACAGGGCAGTTGACAACGAAATCCGACCTTTACAGCTTTGGAGTTGTGTTTTTGGAGATTATCACAGGACGGAGAGTCATAGACAATAATAGACCAACTGAAGAGCAGAATTTAGTTACTTGGGTATGTTCATAATTTATAATCTCTCAAGCTATTTCGGAGAATCTCTTTGAAATCCTTCTATAATGGCTAATTTCCATAAAGTTAATAACACGATTTTTTGCAGGCACAACCATTATTTAAAGACAGAAGGAAGTTTACGTTAATGGCAGATCCATTGCTAGAAGGGAAGTACCCTATCAAGGGTCTTTACCAAGCTCTTGCTGTTGCAGCAATGTGTCTCCAAGAAGAAGCTGCTACACGACCGCTGATCAGTGACGTTGTAACGGCGTTAACGTATTTAACCTTAGATGGTGAAGCAGGGTGATACGGATGCTGATGGAAATGTCGACACTACTGATGGTGCTGGTGTTGAACGACAGACATAATGAGAAAAGAAGCCTATGGAATTTAACGTTTCATGAAATCTAAATGTGATCATATCATGTTGTGTTGTTGCTAGATAGGCTGCTCTGTGAAATACCAACTCCTTGCCATTACCAATAAATCACTTCTCTCCATATTTGGTGTTAGCATGCTGGTGATATTTTTTGTGGTCATTCTGTACGTTGATTTAGAAGCTGGGACTTGTGACACAAGAATTGTAAGTTCGATCATATAAGATTTGGGGAAGGTTAAGGCACTTTAACAAGGCAGGCCCAAATAGCCCAAAAAAAGAACAAGCCTACCCCAGTTGAAAAGGGAGCAAGATTTGAACTAGGGTGCATGGAGTGGAAATATTGTCTTAAACAACTGATTTAACTCACATATGTGTTTAAATCTTGTGCAGACTGATGCATGATAGTATACACTATTCAGTTGGCTTCAACAACATTTTCAGTTTATGCCAATTGTTGTACCAATGTCAAATTGCGGCTGTCATTACTCTTCAATATAAAACATAAATATTTAGGTGTGTTTGATTCGTAGTGTGCATGAAGGATTAAAAGAGTATAGGAGAGAGAGAAACTTATCCATACTGAGAATTTGATATGACAATATCTTAAGTCAATCACATATCTTATATTTTAGATTATTTAGCGTATTAGCTTGGAATGTTGTATCCCGTTAGTAAAAGTTTTTCTTATAAAGGAAAAGGTTTAAAATGAACTTAAATGGTTAAATTTGTTGTATAGCCTGAGATTTCTCCACAGTATATACAATTAACACATGAAACAAGGATTCTTAGGTTAGAGAAGTTTATGCCCCCAAAAAGAGGTGTCATTTTTTCTTCGTATAAATACGACCAATATGCTTTGCTAAAGCTTAAACACGTCACCAAAAGGTTTCGTGTTCAAATCCCTCTCCTCGTAGTTTAATAATCTATTGTTTGTCCAAAAAGAAAAAAACAATATAGAAGAAAGATTTACTGCAAAATATCGATCTTTGAACAAAAAAAATTAGTGATAGGAACCTGCTAGACCTGGTATTCGTGTTCGTGTCGTTTTCATATCATACCCAATAGCTTAATGGGTCATGTCGTGTAACACCCATTAAAATAAACGGGTAATATGACCCGATCCGAAATCGACTCATTAATATTATCAAGTAATATGACCCAACCTGTTACCCGTTAAGAAATATATATATTTAAATCAATAAATAATGAAAATGAAAAACATAATATGACCCCAAAAAATGTAAAAAATAATACTAAATTAGTATATACATATCACATTGTTACATAAATATTACTTCAAAACATAAAAAAAAAAAATTAAAAAAAATATATTTGTCTTTCAAGTTTACATACCCCAAAATAAGAGCCTAATGAAAAAATATTAGTGCATACTATAAAATACAAACATTCAAAAATATGCAAAATAAAAAGAGTTGCGTTTCAAGGAACTTTGCACGTTTTTGACAATAAAACCCTTCAATTTTCATCAATCACCAAGGGAAATGGTATTGGAACTTTGGTTTGATATATTGTCTTCAAGCGTTATGTTGATGATGTATGCACTATGGTTTTCCATAATCCATAAACTATAGATCTAAATTTAACCGTTGATTGTCGTTTATATTTACATTTCATTCTTCTCACCAATTTTTTTTATTTTTTTTATTTTCTTTTTTGAAAACATGATATCTTAGAGGATGTAGGAAGATGAACGGTTTATATCGTTGATATTACGTTCAGAGTGTTACCATTAGTGAAAATATAGATCGAAGTTTATAAAGTCTCTAGAAACTATATATCATCAACTCATATTTTTAGTTAACCATAAATATCGAAATGTCATATCAACGATCTAAACCGTTCATTTTTTTACATCCACTAAAAGATCACTTTTCAAAAAAAGAAAATCTTAAAAATGAAATTTGGTGAGTAGAATAAAGTCTAAACAACAATGGATAGTTCAATTTAAATCTAAGGTTTATGGATTATGGTGTCAAATTTCTAAGTTGACTCCTTCACAAAAGTTGTAAAACTTGTCATTACGAGTGATTGTATATATATTTTTTACATTTTTCACACTTCTACAATAATAATTATTAATTTTGCACTTAAATAAAAAACACTATTCATGAGATTTGGATGGTTTAAAAATTCTAAATGACCATGTAACCATCGCCTAAGCATAGAAGATGTAATCACGAGCCTTTATATATGCTTTCACATTTTTCAGACTTATACATTAATAATTATGTATTTTATTTATTTTGAACTCCCTTAAAAATACTATTCATGAGGGTTTGTATGGTTTTAAAAATTCAAACCACGATGTCCCCATCCTCAAAGCGTATATTTTTCACATTTTTCACTTTCGTAAATTAATTATTATAATTTTTTAGTGTGTTTAGTATTTTTAAATCACTTGATATTTTTATTTTTAATGTGTTTTATAATTTTTTTAATCTCACTCTTTACCCATAATATACTATAAAAATAAATAAATAAAACTTAATTTTTTTTAAATTTATATAGAAATACAATAATGACTAATAAACAATATATACATATCCATTATATCTATTGTATTTTATAGTAAGTTTTTTTAGTAGTTTAAAAAATTAAAATCATCAAAATAACATTTTTTTCTTATCGTGTCGAAATAGGTTATCCGCGTGTCACTCTCATGTAAACTTGTTAAAGACCCGTTATTAACGGTTTCTTATTGTGTGACTCGATAACGACCCAATCAGTTATCGTGTTAATCCAAAACCGATTATTTTTGTGTCGTGTAAGAAACTGCCAAATCTAGAACCTGCTACCAATTGAAAAAATAAAATAAAATAAAATCCCATCAAACCATAGATGTTTTTACTAAATTTTTATATTAATATTTATATCTTCCGCAAGAACATTAAATAATAACTTGAGAAATGCATACCTCATCTAACTATTTCCATTCCGACTTACAAAAGAAGTCATTGAGTGCGCCATTGCTTTGCATCGAGGTTGGAGCATGTGAAAACTCTACTAACTCCAGTTGTGAGCTGTGAAATATCAAAAACAATGCTCTCACACAAATTGAATAATTGAATGATTGCGAAAGCAAGGGGCTAGCAATAAGTGAAGAGAGGAAATAGCAGTTGCTAATAATATCTTCCTTTGTTCTAGTCAACTGAATTTTTTAAAATTGTTGCTAATAGAATTTTCTTTCTTTCTTTTTCGCGTTAGGCAACTAAGACCGTTTATTGCATGACAATTGGCAAATTCTTAGGGTGTAACAATTGACAAATTCTAAGATGTAACATTGCATGACGAAAGAGATAGACGAAAGAAAATAATAAATCTCCGGTTGTATGGTAAATTTCCATGGGTTGTTGAAAAATGAACACTCGTTTCCTTTTCTGAGTTTTCACCTTCTGCAAAATTTCAAAGCTTGGGAGGATTATTTGATGGATGTATTCTTTTTGCTCACTCTTTAACATATATATCTGACCAAGTCCTGTTTATCTTATGTTTTAGATTATTTAGCGTAAGTAGCTTGGAATGCTGTATCCTGTTGAGTGTGAGTTTTTCTTATAAAGGAGAAGGTTTAAAATGAACTTAAATGGTTAAATTTGTTGTATAGCCTGAGATTTCTCCACAGTACATACAATAACACATTAAACAAGGATTGTTACGTTAGTGAAGTTCACGCCCCCAAAAAGAGGTGTCTTTTTTTTTCTTGGTATAAATACGACCAATATGCTTTGCTAAAGCCTAAACACATCACCAAAAGGTTCGTGTTCAAATCTTTCTTCTCGTAGTTTAATATAGATATTCTATCATTTGTCCCAAAAAAAAAAAAAACAATATAAAAGAAAGATTTACTGCTAAATATCGATATTTGAACAAAAAAAAAAAAAAAAAAACAGTGATAGGAACCTGCCACCAATTGAAAAAAAAAATTCCGTCTAACCATAAAGCTTTTTACTAAATTTTTATAGAAATATTTACATCTTCGCAAGAACATTAAATAATAACTTGGGAAAAGCATACCTCATCTATGACTACCTCCATTCCGACTTACAAAAGAAGTCATTGAGTGCGCCATTCCTTTGCATCGAGGTTGGAGCATGTGAAAACTCTACCGACTCCAGTTGTGAGCTGCGAAATAGCAAAAACAATGCTCGCAGACAAATTGAATAATTGACATATATATCTGACCAAGCCCTGTATCAAATCTCTGAGTCCCTATTTGCTCACGCTTTAATATTAATAGGGACCTTTATTTAAGTCTGGTTCTCTCTTCTCTCATTCCAAGCCAAACCTTCTGTTTCAAGTTTCAAGTGAACTATGAACTTGATTATAAGCATAATACTTACTAATAATAATACTAACACTTGTTATACTAGTAAGTCTGGCTTTTATTAGTATCCTGAATATAAGACAACGAATACTGCTTATATTCATATCGACAGCCATATTGGGAGCATGGCTTGGATTACTAATCACTGTTATTTATAGTCTTCCTAGCCTAATCATAACAGTTGCTGTATATTTTGGCATTTTTCTACGTAGCTAGGTCAAGGAAAAACAAAGTGAAGGAGCAACTTACTGGACTCAAGAGGTTTTCACATGATGAATTGCAAGTTGCAACGGATAATTTCAGGACACTCGTTGGCAGTGGAGGATTTGGATCAGTGTTCAAAGGGGTTGTAGCTCTAGCTGATGGCACCACACAGGTTGCTGTGAAGAGGTTGGGTAGAATGGGTCCAGGGGGGATAGGGTTCTTAGAAGAAGTTGTAAGAAGAAGTTGAAACAATTGGGAGTGTACACCATTTTAACCTAGCTAGGTTGCAAGAGATCAGAGCCAACTGCTTATTGGAATGCTAGGAACTCCAGGTTATGTTGCTCCTGATTTAACAGTCACCGTTAAATCTGATGTATACAGCTTTGGGATTGTTCTTCTTGAAATAGTTGCCAGAAGGAAAATCTCAGACAGCTCGAGGTCGGAGTCTATTTTCGTCTGTCTTCAAATGTTGGAAAAGAAGGGTGGTGATGTAGATGATCAGGACCAACTGATTGATATTGTGGAAGACTTGGATGAAGACATGGAAAATCATAGGGAGGAAGTGTTGAGGACTATCCGGATCGGAGTTTGGTGTCTGCAGCGTGATCACACTAGAAGGCCTCTCATGTCAGCAGTAGTGCAGGCCTTGCAAGAACTAACGGAAGTGGATCCAGACATCATCTATAAGTTGAGTCATCCAACGGCCTCTGCTTCTAAATTAAATCATCAGGATCACCTTATTTCTGTGGCACCCCAAGCATCCGTTCTCTCTGGTCCGAGATGAAATGCATGGAAACGTAACAAAACCAGAATTAATTCGTTAGTTTCATGTCAGCTGTACCAAATTTTTTAGATGATTATAAGAGCAAGTTTTTTGCTTTGTTTTTCTTTAATTTTGATTTGAAAATTTTCACCCGGTTCATTTTCCCCTGCGCTTAAATTGTTCTTGAAGGAACTGCAACTAACCAAACATTAGCTATGTCCAAAGAGTAAAGTGCTGAGCTCCTTAACCAGAGAAGACATTTTCCTTCCGTTCTTATAGTGGCGGGGAGCATTCATATGCTCTCTTTCCATATTCCCAGCATCAGCTTGCTAAATCTACATGTTTGCCTACCTGCCTGCCTGATCCTAAATCCGCATGCATGTCTCATGCAAGGTCTCTCTGCCTGACGATGTATCCAATTTTGTATAGGCCCTATGTTTGTATCCATGATATGTCGTTGTCTGCCTGCCTGGCTTTTGGAATTGGTTGATTGTTTGATTGATTAGTTGCTCGTTTGTTAGCTTGAATTGCTCATCGCTTTTCATTTGCATCTTCTCGTCCGTCGCCTTGTTGGACAATTCATGGTAAACAACGAGAGTTTGACAAGGGTGTTGGAAAAGTTAATTACTTAGCTTTTTGGTTTATTATTATTTAATAAAGGTACTTTTGGTATTTGGATTCGTTGCCTGTTATAGGATTTGGATTCGTTCTTTGTAAATAGGATGCTTTGTGACTATAAAAACAAGTTTGTCATGATGTAACTAGTCTTTTCGAAATATGTAGTCTTCCTCGCAATTCTACAGTGTTTATTCGTTTTTAACTTTAAACTCTTGTTTGAATATATGAATAACTAAACAGTCTTCAAACCTAAAGAGTAGTTAACAAATAGATGAAACAACAAAGGGCTAACACAGAAGCAGTCTTTTAGTACATACTAGAGAATTAGATGACAAGTTTAGGTACAACTAGAAAATACGCTCACGCGTTGCTGCTGGAATCTGCTGTTTTAGTCGTAATCAGATGAATAAAACACATTTAAGTTGGACAAATTCAACACAATTATAAACAAACAAAGGGATACATGAGTGAGTGAGGTCAATAAGATAAACAGTTTTGATTTTATATACATTCAAGCGAGCTGGCATATAAACACATTGTACAATGTAGTGGGAAGAAATTGAACGTCTTTGATTAGAAAGAGATAGTTTCCAAAAAAGTTTTTGTTTCAATAAGAAACATGTAATTCACACATATAGCCATTTCAACAGGTAATTAAAAACAGAAAGTGTTGAGGACTTGTTCAAGTAGCTAATTTTGTAACCACGACTGTTCAAAGGCAAAAATAAGCAGAAGGTCTGTTTCATACGAAACTGAAGAAATAGAAGCAAGCTACAGTTTACACATATTTCGCCCCTGCAGTTAAGACGACAAAATATATGCCCTGCAGCCTACATACCTCACTTAGCAGTTAGCAAAACACAGAAAATGCGGTGTTTGAGCAGGTAATTCATCAAGCACAGATGTTCAAACAAAAAAAAAATATGCAGCATGGTGTGCAGCATTCGATCACGGAGGGCGTGGCTGTTCACTTTTTTTGAGACCGGACATCTTCGACACTATAGCTAAAAACATAAATCATAATGTAATAAGGGCATCCATTACATCTAAATCCTCCCACACCTCTCGGACACTCCCTCTCTCTCTCTGCAATTCCTAAAACAAATATCTCGGACACCCCATCTCTCTACAAATCGCACAAACAAAACCCCAAACATAATCCTTGACATGCCACCCAAACCTAATCCCTGAAACCCTTCTCTTGGACAACTCATAGCACAGAAAATGCATTTGAACTTTAGTTTATAAAATTACAGGTTGCCTTCTCTCTTCCTACCTTTTAACAATTCACCAGTAAGATTATCTCACTAAAAACTTATATTAGCAAATCCAATGACGAATTATGTGAAACTGAAGCTATAATGAAAGCTTATATTAAGAAAGAATGAAAAACCGTCTTTCTACAACTTGAAACCAAAATTTAAGTGAATAGTCCTGCAACTAAGGTTATTGAACATGATTAACTATCCGCAACCCTCAACCTTGTAACCTGAATCAAGCTGGTTTCGCACATACCAATAGAAAACCAAAATATCAGTGTTTGGGGAAGTTACCTTATTTGAAATACCACTAAAAAACAAAGTATACTTTTAGGCAAATATTGTTTAGACACCCAAACATAATTCATGATATCTGCCAAAAAGAAAATACCTCTCGATTAGATTTCTTTCGTTCACGAACTTTCTACTTGACAAACTCCTAAGATAGAACAAAAAATGAAAATAAGTCACAACTGGTGCAAGCAAAGGGGAAGGAGGCTGAGAAAAGTAGGAATTTATGAGTACACCAATCCTGTTTTAGGTTCCCAACTTATAAGAATGCTAACTTCATCATATAGGACTACCATTAAATGCATTTCTTTCCAAAATTAAACTTAGAAAAGAATTCAACACTCACATGCCACAACACAATGTTACATGAAGTAATCTTACCATCACAACCAAATTGACACAAAACTTCTAACAGTCCTTTTGAAAGCAAAAGTCAAGCGATTAATCAAATACTCATTTTCCGAAAAACAAAAAACCCAACAAAAATATATAAAAAGTAAAAGTAACTAAGTTCCCAATAGTCTAATCCATCAGAAAAATACAAACTCGCACATGTTTGAGTATAAGGACCATAAGAAAGAAGTAGGGATGCAAAATTTTGAGAATGGGTCTAATAATACTCATCAAGTACAGATAATATATTCTACAAATGAATGAAACAAAAGATGGTGACACTGGAATGGAAACACTTCGAGAGGCCAGAGGAAGAGGGACATTTTTTTCCTTTCTAGCATTTCAGCTCACGACATGTCGAGAAATTGTAGGTACTGTGCTAATGTCATTAACTCATGCATCTTAAGCACCAATATTCAGAGATTTGCACAACTAATGGTGCACTAATTGAGTTCCCAACCCATAATGATGCTAACTTCATCACATAGTACTACTTAAGAAAAAATTCAACTTTCACATGCCTCAACAATTACACTGTTCCATGAAGTAATCTTACTATGACAGCCAACTTGACACACAACATTTGTTCAGCAATCTGATTAAGAAACAACCAACTAATTAAACACAAATGATAGGCATGATTCCGGTAACCAAATTCAAAGAACAGAGTTTAGATAACGAAATGCAAAGAACACAATACATATAGTGAAATTCAAGAACATGATTCAGAGGATTTGAGCTATATTGTGTTGAAAACTTACCGAAGAGTGACGATTCCCGGGCAGGTAGCAGTCAGGCTTCTTGACTACCTCTAGTTGCGGGTGCTGATTTAATTGCAACATATACAAAATTAAAACAATTAGCAACTTAGATTCAATAATCTGATTGTTTCTCGGAAAAAATCGCTTGCAATTATCAATTCTAATTTTCGACATTAGAAACCCAAACGAAACGCACCTTGGTGGCAAGTGCCTTCCTCAGAGCCTTACCACTTCGTACGGCCCATTTCTTCACAAATGAATGATAAAAACGCAAAGAATCTGAAGTAAGAGCGATGAAGAACCGTAAGAATCCAGAGGTTACGAACACAACCGAGCACTAAACTTTGAAAGCAAAAGCAATTACGAAAACAGCATATTATGTTTCATTATCATCATATACAAATTCAATCTACAAACTCATCGTTTCTACCAGATTCCTCCACTAACAGCACCGCTCCAATTTGGTATCTGCATCACCACAGTCAGAGAAGCCTAACATGGGAAAAGCACTATCCAATTAGGAGGCTTCAATTGAAATTCCTGATGCATAAAAATCAAACCTAAATTGAAATTATAATCAATTAGGGGGGCTTCAACCAAACCAATTCCGAATTCAAAATAAAAATTTCTAGTAGTCATCGTCCCTGGATTCCATCGTTGTCTGACCACAAAAACCTAACAGCGGCCAGAGAACCACAGAATCAAGAGTAAAAAAGGGAGTGTGGGAGAGAGAAGCAGCCAAAATACAGAGAAGATGGCAAGAGTAAAAAAGCAAACCATTTAAAGAACCAGTGGAGATCAGAATAACTATGAAATACTACAGAGGCAACCGAACAGCCATTATTATACTTTTTTTTCTCAGCATGCCAACACCAATAAGAAAAAGAAAAAAAATCTATGGGACAGATGTAAATCAATTTTAAAACTTCAATATATTTGTTTGTCAAAGTCAGTGATCAAACTTCAGACTCATGCTTTCCAAAAAGAAAAGAAAATGAAGAACTGAAAGCACTGACAATTCCAAGCAACAGAGCAGCCATTATTAAGAGCCAAAACTCATTCCTTAGTCTCCTCATCTGGGTACTCAACTCCGTAATCTTCGCTCAGCATGGTTGACTGAAATTAAGAGAGAAAAAGATAAGAAATTTCAGAAATTGTCTATGAAGCCAAGGATACTGCAATAACTTCAAGGCATGTAAATTGCATGTGTATAAAGTAATTTTCTACATAAAGTAATGAGGCTTGAGATGTTGTAGATAGGATAAAACGCCAGATGCTATGAAATTGCCAGATATGTAAACGATCAATATGGTGTATGTGAACGTGAATGTGAATGTGAATGGTAGTTCTCTTAAATTGTAAGATGCCAACATATCATGTATAAGTGCCCCTTATACATTGATATTGTTAAGAGATTTTTTTTGTGCAAGAGAGCTATTGTATAAGTGCCCCATATAAATGATTCTGCAAAAGATTTTCAGTTTTACTTCTACCATCCATTAATTGTCCTATCCAAAATGCTTTGAAAAATAAATCTATAGCTGCTAACAGTCTATATTCTTCATGCTGTCAGACCCTGCAATCTAAAAATTCATGTAAATGCAGAGGTTTGGCTGAAGGAGAGGGCATCGAAGAAATCCAGAAATCCTTCCATGACAAACTTAGTTGTACACCCATGGCGTGTGTGTTGTATGGTAGATGCCCTCTCTCTCTTTTAACAACACACAATAGCTTATGCAAATGCAAAGAGACTTCAACATGTTTCATTTAAAATAAGTTTACACTTCGTAGCAAATGCATATGGAAAAATAGTCTATAAGTAATCATACTGGAGACCAAACAGAACAGTTCAAAAGCTTCAATGGAAATGTAAAAAATAGAAGTAAAATAAAATAAAATAACTTGAATTTCCAAATCCATAAAATAAAATGGGGAAATTTAACGAAAAGCGTCCAGTACTGTTCATTTTAACGAAAAATCACATTTTTACACTAAAAAGTTAATCCTGGTACTATTCACTTTACCCTTTATTTTTTCCTTATCGTTAAAAAAGTTTTTAAGCTTTTTCATTAGTTTTCCTAATAAAAAATTCAACCAGATTAAATTTAAGAAGAAATACCATGAACTGAATTCAACCAGATTAAATGTAAGAAGAAATACCAAGAACTGAGAGCTGCAGACTACCAAAATGCTCATGATCATGGCCGTGCTGATGAAATGCAAATCTATAATTTCATGTCATGTTGGGTAGGACTGATTTTTCGCCCAAGTCCAATACAACTGGTTTCGCTTGGTCGCATGTTGGGTAGGGTTGATGCGAGCCGGGAAGGAACAAATTTCTCATGGAAATGGCCACCAAGGTTAGTCGGGGAGAATTTTCCTAGTGCCTGCTTACCGCGTTAAAGAAATATAACCATTGTTTCTTTGTGAGCACCACATGCATTATTTGTTAAAAATCACCTACACTTGTAGTCACTAACCGTAGCATACTTCATCTAATAAGATTATTTCTGCCAAACGGGGGTAATGCCGAATTTGTGTATTTTCAACTTTAATAAGAAACCAATCGGCTACAAGGACGCTATATGGCATAAAAGTATGCACTTAGTTTCTAACTTAAGTTCACAGGTAGTCACAGATGTTGGAAACTTATATATGTCATTTGGCAATTACATTCATTTCATGCTAACTGTAAGATTTCTAAATCACCCACTCCACTCAAAACGCAGGTTTGAATTCAATACAAGTTGGCAATACATACAACTAGAAACTATTTGTCATGATGCTGCGGATTTATTCCCCAGGATGATGCCAACTGCACCAAAAGTTGATCCGGCGTTGCACCTTCCCAGTCCTCGGGTGGATCCATTGTTACAGAAGCTTCATGCAGATTCAAAACGAGTTCCTTCTTTACGTCAGCGGGAAGGCCGAAAACATCAGACCCATTTTCCAGCACTATTTCAACCAACTGCAAAATGGAAATAGGGGACTAAATGGTCAAACCAAGTCAAACTGAGGCATTGCCATAACTGGACACCAAAAGCAACAAAATTGAAAATATAGGAACATTATTGATACAATCGCATTCTATGAAGCAAACACGTATGCTAACCCCATTGCTATTCCGAAATTATCAGAGAAAATAGATTTAAGAAAATCTTGTTACGAACATGAAATAAAAAGGTGCTCGTAGTCATGTTCTAATCAACACAAGTTGCAAGATGAAACACTTTATGTGAAGTCTAACCGTCAAGAAGAAAACTAGTGAAACACATACTTAAAAATAGTTAACTCACACGTCCGTTAAGAGGGGAAAAAATGCTACCTGCTGAATCCAAGCCAAACAGACGTCAAACAAGTTTGGCTCTGGTAAAAATTGCCCAACGGCATGCAAGACCTCAGTTGCTGTCTCATTTGAAAGTTGGTCAATCACAGGACCTGATCTGTCCATTAACTTTACAAGCAAGAGATCATCTCCTGTAGACAATACTTCCACAAAGGCCGTATCCACATCACCCACTTGAAGAGCATCCATTGCATTAGTCCAAGAATTCCAGATTGGATTGCGCTCTTGGCCCACATTATCATCTTCCATAGCCTCTGCAGTCATTTCAGGTATAGCTACTCTTCCTGCTCTAGATGTTCCATTGTCCTCTCCAGCCACACGAATTGCTTCCAAGGTAGCTTCATCTTTTGAAGCTTGCCAAACACTTCTTGCGGAAGGCCCCTCACCAAACCTTACAGGTCCAGCCCCCTTATCCCATGCTCGCCTGCTGTTACCCTGGTCACTCCCATTCTCTGATTTGGGTGACCTACCATCCACAGGACCACCTCCTACGGCCTTCCTCGAACTAGTCTGTCCATTTCTGGAACCACCATATGTTGAAAAATCCCACACCTCAGATATGTCAGATCTCCATGTAGGGCCCCGCCCCCTCATGCCGGAAACATGTCCATCATTTTGGGCAAATCTTTCGCCAAACAGAATTCGTCCATCTCCACCTCTTCCAAACTTGTTACTAGTGTAATCAGGAAAACCGTTGTACTTACCTAAAGGCCTATTAGAAGCCCCCTCATATCCCATTGAAAAATTACCGCCTCTTCTACCTGATGATATTGATAAATCTCTTGCCAAGTCCTCAACAACTCTCTCAAGACCCCTTACTCTGTTCTCCAAAGTTACCATACTGTCATGAGATCCGCCCATGAAATCCTGCAACATGCTCATCAGATGACCTTGTTGTCTCTCCAGCTGCAACAATTGCCTTTGGATAGCCAGCCAATTTCCTTTGTTATTGACAAAGGATCCTTCAGGTTGACCATCAGTTTTGGAGAAACCTGCACGACTAGTGGACAACTCCCTTTGATTTATATCAATCCTCTCATCAATATCAACTGCCCTTGTTCTGGAGTCTTTTCCATTCACCCTTTCTTCTGGCAATTTATCTCGCGCAAGGTCATCATGATCTCGTTGTTTAGCATAGAGACCAGCTAATCCTCTCTCTATGTTACGGTATTTACTACTGAAAGATCCATGAATATCATCAAATTGGCTGTTTGCAATCCGGTTTAAAGTTTCCTTGGAATCTGTATTATTTGCCTCTGGTTCCACCTCATTATTTGAGTTTGAAGAATTGACGTGTCTACGAGGAACAACTACCTCAACAGGCAAATCATCAGAAACCCTTTTTTCAAGTTTCTGGAAGAATTCTGGGTTTAGCTCTTTATCAGTTAAGACAGGTGGTTTCTTCTTCAAAGCTACAACCACTTTATCCCCACTGGCTTTAGATTTAGAAACAGAATCTGAAGTAGGGGATGAACCATTAGATAAACCCTTTGCTCCTTGCTCTATTCTCTCACCAGCCTTTGAATTTTTTGGTTCATTCTTCTCTGACAACTCAGCTGATTCAGAATTTTCTTTATTAAAATGTGGTAACAACAAAATGATCCAGTGAGGGACAAAAGGATGAGAAAATTGAACGAACGTTTTATGAAAGATAGTATTATTGATAAGCTTACCATAAGACGGGACTTTCTTTTCATTTGGAGCTTCATCTCCTCCTTTCCCAGCTATCTTTTTCCAAAACTGCAATGCCTCTGTCATGCTATCTCTAACCGGTTTAATCTGTAAAAACAAACCAAACCAAACTTTGGACACTAAGGCAAGCGAAAATACAACGCTACGTTCCTCTGTGTAATGGTGTGCTGGTTACAAATACAATGCCACCTTCCAATGACATACTGTTCAGTATTGAATTTCCTATGTAATGGTGTGCTGGTTACAAATACAAATCCCAAGTTAAAAAATATGTTGATCTTTATACAATACTCACTCAAACATGCAATACTATAATCAAGTAATCCCCTAAACATTTTGAATCCTGGCAATCACCTAGCGGTAAGATAAAAGGGTAATGCACTTGAGATAATATGCAACAAAAGACTACCTTGTCAAAACGGCTAGACTCGAGCACTTTCAGGGTGGAAGCAGTTCTATCTGTAATCAAGTTGCTTGAATGCAATGCTAATGCAATCAGCACATCAGCTGCTGCTTTACGTGTTGCCCAATCTGGGCTTCCAAGGCAGTCATGAATACTTTGCTGTAGATTATCCAAGCTTTGGGGTGCAATCGCTCCAACCTACAACAAGTAGGTAACTCTCCAGATCAGTAAAGTCCAATTAAATGATCCAATGTATAGATCAAAGTTATCGTTCTATTCACCTACATTCTATTGACAATAAGACTATGTATACGTTCCCACAACATCAAACACGACAGATTTCAAGTCAACACTCCAAATTACCACTCTTTTTAATCTTCTGTGTCCTACATCCTTTTAGCAATCAAACAACCACATAAGTACCTACTTTACTACAAAATCTAGAACAATGTACATGACCATATCGAGTTCGAGACCACAATGTACATAACTACTAGATCACTTGAATGTGAAAAAGCATGTGAAGATAATCTACTAAGCAAACCTGAGACAGGCTCGAAACAACCGGCAAGAGCGATGACTTAGCCAAGAAGTTAGGATTGTTGAGCAACTTGCAGATCCTTGGACACAGCTTTTGAAAAGACGAAACAGGCGGTTCTAAAGCGCAGTCCACAATCTTAGCCATACACAATGCCGCACCAGATTGCACCCCTTTGTTCTGCTCCATCATAGCCTCAAACAAAGGCTTCATAAATAAACCGACAACAGACCCATTGTCGCTCACACTATCTGCCTTCAAGTACTGCGCCGAGAGCGAGCCAATGGAGTCGCGGCACGCGTCCCTGACGCCGGAATCGGCGTCCTTGAGCCTCTTGACAACGTGGGCAATGATTTTGGTCAAATGGGTGGATGTGAAATCGGGGTGCGAAGCAGAGACCAATGAGAGCAGGCGCAAAGACTCTTTCTTGACAGCAGGTTTCGGATCCGCGGAGGCATCGTAGAGGCAGTTGAGGAGCATAGGGAGGCTCTCCGGCGCGAGGGTTTGGATGATTTTCTCGAGATCTTCGACGGCAATTTGGTACGTGTCTCGATCGGAGAGTTTCGAGAGGGAGGTGAGGATTCTCTGCTTAAGCTCCACCATGGCTAGGTGGGTCGAGAGGGAAGAAGTTGCGGAAGAAGGAGAGGACTTTGAAGAGGAAAGTTGCTGCGGCTGCGGCGGCGTTGTGGCTGAAGGGTTTGGGGGTTTTGCGGGTTTTGAGATTCTGGGTCCGGCGAAACTCATGGTTTCAAGTTGGCGTGATTTGGTTTTGAAATGGGATGTAAAATGGAAAATGGGTTCTCTCTGATTCGGGAACTTAAGCTTTCAGGCTTCTACAGTGAGGTATACAGGCAATGCTGTTGCAGAGACAGAGACAGAGAGAGGTGGAGGGAGAGCGGCTTCCTAACTTTTAATTATTTGGTTACAGATGAGGAAGCTAACATTTTAGTCCTTACATTATCATTAGAACTTCGAATCATTAAAATTATTGTTTATTACATATTTTAATCCTTGTTTTGTCTTTTGTACCTAGGTTGAGATACCTACCCTCCGAAGTATAGGACTAATTCCTAGAAAGGCTCGGAAAGGCTGAAGGCATTTGAGTTCATCATTAGTTACAATTGTACATATTTTCTTAAAGTTTTCAATCAAAGAATCATCTATGTTGTACCACCTTTATAGCTTAGTTCAAGATTAAAGAGCAAACTAGACTCGAAATTCTGCTGGATTTCCATTGACCTACTTGCCGTAATTAAATTATTTATAAGTTAGAAGGATAATATCTTTGTGCCAACTTCAATTTCTAAATTTATATATTTGAAACACTATTGTGAAATTTTGATTTAAATTATTTTTCTTTTAATATTTATTTGTTTTTGAATTTTGAAGAGTATACGTGAGTCAAGGTTTAGGTTTGAAGTGATTAATCATCCGAATGGGCGTTTTAATATGTGATTTGTTTGGAGGTGTCAATCATCGATAATAATTTATGGAGTTGTGGAAGAGCAGTAATCAAAATTCAAAGGAGGACTGGAGGAAAATGTGAGGGCCACCTATAAGACAGCAACATGATGATTGCGTTACACACTCAAATTTGAAAAATAAGCATGGTGGGCACATGTGTTAGTTACACACTTTATATAATATATTTTTGGTTTGTTATAATTTGGGATTTTGTGTTGCAGGGAAGGTTGGTGACTTGTGCTGGAAGTTATTTGACTTAAGTAAAGATTCTATGTTTTGTTCATAGAATATGAATTCTGTGGTATATCACATCTCCGACTCCACAAGCACGTATAAAATTTTAACTCCGGCACTGTCCAAAAAGACAATGTAACAAGGCTGCGCATGCTGTTGCCTTTGCCACTAGCCTACTAGCTAGAGAGAATGAAAGTTTCTTATAAAAGCAATTCGAATCAATTCGGACTTCGTAATACTTTCGCCGCTGATGCTAATACAATCGTTCACGTTTAATTTTGAATAATATATATCAACACAAAATTTATAAAGACAAATGCTTAGAGTACATTTATTGCTCCCCTGATGACCATTACAAATTTACCACCCCATCACACTGAATGCAATGCATGAAAAGTGAAGGAAAAAAACTTATATAGCAAAACAGTGGAATTTAAACACCCAATTCAAACTACTTGATTCAAACATGAATTCAAACTATCGACCAGTATAGTAAGACACTGGCTCCTTATTTTATACTTCATGCCTTTGGATAACATGACCTCAGTTCATTTAGTTGTATTCAGGTCTGGAGAGACTTTATAGATGCACCGGTTCGACAAACAGAGAAACTACAATATCCTTAAGAAAAGTTCCAGCATTAGTAAATGCGTCACCGTGCTTGTATAACACTTCGACCACTCGTGTAAGATTGAGAATTCGCAACAGTAGAGGCATGGGGATTGGGGTGGTTTGGTGGAGCAACGCTTCGTTTATGTCCTTCCATGCATTATTCACTTGTTTACTTAGTTCAAGAGTTGCTTCTTCTTCTGTGACATCATATTGTTTCATGTAGCATTCCACGGCCGAGGCAACGTGTCCTCTCTTCTGCTCAAACTACAAAAAAAAAAAGGACACGATCACTATAACAAAAATTAGCAATAACTTCAAGAAAATCGAGATTGTTGTTAGATGACAACGATACAAATCATGATATAAGAAACACGATGACAAAAAATTTGTTAGAAAAGTATAACTAATATTATAAGCGCGACCTTTTTATAATTTTTGTGACCCATTTATTTATTTATTTTGTGTTGATAAGAATTTTGCTGCTCTAGCAACGGCCACGCATTTCAAGGTTCATGAAGGTTATAGTTATAAATATAAGTCGTAAGTACCTGGTGGGACTTGATGTCATTCTTGAGTCTACCAATTAAGGATGCAGCCTTTAAAATCTTGGGGTCACTGAAAGCCCAATCCAATGAGTCTTTTGTAACAATATCTCCCATTCCAATAAAAGACGTGATTGCTAGGGAAAAGGAGGATGTGTCAAGTGCTGCTGACAAATATTCATCCAGTGTAGGTGTGTATTTGCGATGGAACCATTTGGCTTCCCTCAGGTACCCTCTAACTAGAACTTTCATCTGAGAGAGATAGACAAGGTGATCATGTCGTAAATCCTTCATCATGTTTATAATTATATACAAAATTGCACATATATGTATACGGTCTACAACTAGTCAATATCCAAGTATTATTCATCCGTTGGATATTGACTAATGTGAATGGTTTAAAAATTAAAAATATGATGATTTTCCTAACATTACTTATCATATGATAATAACTAGCCGCTTGGAAATGTTGGTGAGACTTACTGCTTCTCTAGCATAGTAGATGCGATATAAGTTCCCCTCATTTCGAAGCTTTTCTTCCATTTCTGTGTATAAATCCAGCATTGCCTGATAGCAAACTTTCATATACTGTTGCAGACGATCCATGACAGATATATCCCACCTGATGGTGATCAGAAATTCAAAATTAGAGCATATATAATAACCACAGCCTCCTCCGAAATCCTTTTAAATTTACAAATGCAAGACTTCTGCATTCACGTAGGATACTACAGTTCCTTCACTTGTGGCCCAAGGTCCGTTTAAAAATATCAAAATATATCAACGAAATATTGTGGATATATGGTTAATCAAGGAGACATATTTGTTGTAATTTGTCTGTTCGTGAAATCATGTAATTGTGTAAACTTGAAGTAGAATCATAATAGTATTTAAAAATTAAATTTTCATAGACTTTGTATTACTGCTAAGATAATAAAACTTATCATAATTAGGATTTATTTTTGTTTTTAAGATAAAAGGAGAGAGGAAGAGAGTGAAAGAAAACATGAAAGTGGAAGAAAGGGAGAGAGGTTTATTTTTTATTTTTTTAAATTAGAGACGTTAAAATCATAAGTCACATCCCGACCTGGGCTTCATCACATCCCGGGCTCAACTCCACCGTAGCATTATATTGTTCGCTTTGGGTCTCGACCACGCTCCCACGGTTTTGTTTATGGGAACTCGCACGAGAACTTCTTAACTTCGGAGTTCCGATAGAACTCGAAGCTAATGAGCTCCCAAAAGGCCTCGTGCTATATGGAGGTGGACATGTACATATAAGGCATAGAGGATCCACTCCCCTGGGCAATGTGAGATCTAACATTATATGTGGTTGATACTTTAAAAAAAAAAAAAAAAAAAAAGAAGCAAAATTTATCACTTAGTACTACGGTTTAATGGTATTCCTCGTTAATTGTAAGTTAGAGGCCTTAAGTTTGATTCTGGCCAAATGTAAATTTGAGCCACATTATTGCTAACCGTTGTGAGACTAAGCTCACCCCCTCCCCTTAATGCAGAGAATATTGTTTTTTTTTTTTTTTTTTTTTTTAAATTTGTTCTTATAACTACTAAATTGCCCATAATTTTATTTCTATTCAATTTTAATTAAAGTGTTAAAATTGTAACTTCCTAAAGTTTTGATTAACAAACAAAGTTCTATTAATATGTAATTTAAATATATAAAAGCAAAGGATCATAGGGTTTATATATAATTCTCATACACATGACCCGTTCTCTCTCTCCTGACCCTCCCTCTCTCTCTCAGCCACTCTTAATTTTTATTTTTTTTTAAACAAACAATATTATCTACATTAAGGAACAAGGATGAACTTAGCATCATAATGAGCTAGCAATAATATGTTTCAAATTCGCCTTTGGTGAGAAATGAACCTAAGACCTCTCACTTACAAATGAAGAGGAATACCACTAGACTGTAATACTAAATGGTCACTTTAGTTTTACAGTAATATTCAATTTATAAGCATAAATTATTGTAGAAAACCATTATAAATATATAAAAAGTCATGGTGCGTTTTATTCCGTGTTCATTAACTAGTCCAGTCAAACCAAAAGTTCTTTGAATTTTTTTTCTTTCCAAATAATAGATACGAGTACAAATTAATGAACATATTCTGAAGTCTCATTTAAAAAAAAGAAAATTATTTTTGACACTTCTCATTTTACATTCTGGACTTTTTATATTTATAAAAAATAAATACAATGTAAATAGTGTAAAATGATATTTTTAGAGTAATAATAACAATTTCGTAAAAAATTTCTTTTATTTTTCACAACTTTCATCATTTATAATTATGATGAGCTCTTACCAATATGAATATTTCCATCGATATTTCCCTATTTTAGTGTTTGAGTCAAGTGATATGTGTCATCATTTATAAGTAATTATTAGCGATTGATGATATAAAAAGGGAATTAAAATTGGAGATTGAGCCAAATTCCAAACCTTTCAACAACTTCAGTAAAGAGCTCTAGTTCTTCAAATGTGCCATAGACATCATAGATGTCATCAATAGCCACAATAAGGACAATTACTTTGCTTAATGTCATCCGAGCAAATTCATATTGAGGTTCAAAGCAGCACCCTAACCCCCAAAGGTAGCTCTCAACAACTCTGTCTCTTGAAAAAGGTAGTTTGCTTACAAAATCCAAGTCCTTCGACCACCTGCATCAGTTAATTAAGTGGACAACAATTTGTTTAAATAGCTAGTAGGACTAAGTAATCAGATTCTTTAAATTTAAGTGTAGTTAATTGGTTTTGTTTAACCTTGAAATTTCACTCAGTTCTTTCAGATGGACTTGCTGCAAGAGATTGAAATCCAACTTTGCAAAAGTTAAGAGAGTTTCATTATGTGAATCGTCTTCCTGGTAAATGGACAAGTAACGCCTTGCTTCTAGCCTTGGGTTGCCCTTCCAAAACGGCTGGTACAATGCATGAGTTACGAGTTTCGAAAGCGGGGAGCTCAGACGATTCTCTACCGACTTAAGATGAGTGGTGGTGAAGGTTAATGCCTCGTCTAGTATATCCTCACCGTGTACACTTAGCTGTGTTGCTTCGTACAAGCTTAATAGTCCGATGACATTATTGACAAGTGAGTCCTTAAATTTGCCATCATCGTCCTTGAACTTGTTGAACATTTCTGCTTCCCAAATTCATGCATTACGTAATTGGAGAAAGAAATTAAAATTAAATCGAAAAATATATAATTAAGTGTGAGTGTCAAGAAGGGAGGGACTTACCACATGATATATCATAACCTTGTTGTCTAAGCAATCGAAAATATAGAGCAGCTGCATGAAGGTTGTGATCATCATCACTCCCTTGGTGTTGGTGACTACCGTCATAAGAATCCTTGCGAATTTGCTGCAAAACTTCATCAATCTCATCCTCAAAATGGTAGGAGACGCCTAAGCGCTGAATCGTATCGACCAAGTCCAGCTTATCTGAATGCTTACAAGGCGTTGGAGCCAATATCATTCTCTTCACATTTTCCTTTAATTCTTGGACAAGTCTCTCAGCTTCAATATTTTTTTCCTGCAAACACAAATTGAAAAGGGAATTATACTTTTCCTGCATGGGGCATATAATTCCAAACTATTAATCACAGTGAATTTCCTACTACCACTGACGCATATGATAAAAAATAATCTCCCCAAAAGTTGGGGGGAAAATTAGCTGAACGTCGATTCACATCACTAGGAATTGTTTTTGAGGTATGAGCTTGAGATGGTGATGACATTTTATTCCTAATTTGGAGAAGGTGAATAGGCTTTTTAGCTGCGTGAGTTGAAGAGGTGGTGCGCTATGTTATTTATAGTGTGTGAAACAGTGAAAAACAAAAAAAGTAAAAAAAAAAAGAGCTAAAAGTGTTTTCATCACTAATTTGTTTCACATGTCTAGCACGTACGCTTTTAAAAGTGTTCATTACTAACTTGTTTCACATGTTTAGGATGCTTTTAGCATGTCCATCCCATCAGGAGACAATTTTGGGTCCACAATGAAAATCATAGTTCAAATCAAGGATGAACCTAGTTAATTATGAATTTATAAGAATAACGTATAGGTACATGCATTATAACATACCACATCACTTAGGGAAGTGGATCCTATAAGACTTATATGTACATTATCATCTCTACCTAGCACGAGGCCTTTTGGAAGCTCACTAGCTTCGGGTTCCATGAGAACTCCAAAGTTAAGCGAGTACCACGTGAGAGCACTCTCATGATGGGTGACCCACTGAGAAGTTCTCGTCTGAGTTTCCAGAAACAAAACCGTGAGAGCGTGGTCGGAGTTCAAAGCGGACAATATCGTGCTACGATAGAGTCAAGCCCGAGATGTGGTGGGGGCTCACTACCCTTATTATATTTGAAAAACTCTAGTTGACTAATTTATTGAGCCTACATAATGGATTTGGATCTTTGCCAGATCTCCTTCCTGGGGATCTTAGGGATCAATAAACACAGACCGTTGATAAAAAATCGTGCGATCCTAATTAAAGGATCTATTACCATGAAAATAAGTCTTTAGAAATTAAACAAGAAAACCCAAAAACCAATGGATGAAAATTTAAGAAATCATATTCATATGAATATCCCATGATTCCAACCGGAATTATACATGGGCAACTAGGATAGACCAAAAAGTTCTCAAACCCACCACACATGCCACTCTTGTCATATTAGACGTGCTTTCATAGTCTATCCTAGTAGTGTCATCTCAAGATAATTATAGGGTTTCTAAACCACAAAAAGGGGCTGATATACGATATGTGGTCTAAGAGTTTTCGTTCAGAAAAAAGAACAACGCTTGTGTGTGTTGGAATTTATATATTATAATACTAATAGTTATAATATTTAATTCAACATTTGAATGAAAAATGCTTTAACGGTTTGTATCAAACCGTCTTTGTCATTAAGCGGCTGCTATCCTATACAAAGTGGCTCCACATTGAGTATGGACCTTTTAAATGGTGCCATCTAAAAGATGAATGTATGCATCTCTTCGTCAATCAATGTCTTGGGTTTTATTTAACGTCATGAAACCATGGCATTAAGAACATAAAATTAGAGTAAATTTTTACTCTTGAGAAATAGGGTTTCCCCACTCTATTTCTCTCACTCTTTGTTTTGTCAAATTCAGAGTCGTGTTTTAAGAGTACGGAATATATAAAGTTCGCCAGAGTCCGAAGATTTAAATCATTCGACTTCGGATTATAGATTGTTGAATCCTGGGAGACGGACGCCTACAGAACTACAAGCATAAGAATAGGGGCGAAATTCTGTCTTTAGAACATTGCATTTATGCAAGCCTCAATCTCTAAGTTTGTCAGTATTTCTAACTTTGTCACTAGTTGTTTTTATTAATCTCATTCATAATTGGTGTTGTCGTTTTCTTTATGATTACGTTCATTGAAATTCTTTTATTATTTTCATAATTAAAATGAAAGATTGAGGGGCTTCATGATCCAGATAAATCATGTCTTGATAAATAAGATAGCCCTCCTTTTGTCCGTATGTGGCTAAGAACTTTGGTTTGTGACAAAGAGAACCATTGATTTCAAGGTCATTTGAATGAAATGGGCATGACGATGTCCATAGGTGAGATCAAAGGCCAAAGATATAATTGGAAGGTCTAACCAGATTGTCTGTAAAGCAGATTGCTCTATGCCTTGTTTACAAACCACATGTACATGGTTTTATTACATTCGGGCAAAAGATTTGGTGAAAGAAATTAACCAACCAAGTCATTTGGGATAATTGGATTTCACGAGGATGATGGAGGAAGATTTAGTCTTCTTTATGTCTTGTTCAACTATTAATAATTAAATGTGACGAAAAAAAGAAAAGAAAAAAAGAAGAACAGAGTTTTGCTCATAAGACATGTTAGTCATTGATAAAACCAAAGGACATTCCTTTGAGAGAAATTATATACTGAAAGTGTGGGGGTATTTTGGAAAGGAAAAGACGATACACTGAAAATGTGTGGGCCATTTCACAAAATTAAATTAGACATGATGTTGTTTATTAAGCAAGGAATATGAGCGGATATGTTATGAATTCAATGATGCTGGCTAATTGAATTTTAATAATTTAAAGTCAAAGTACATATAGGTGGATATCCAAAGGTATAATCTATAATGGAATTGAATACAACCTTAAGGCTACAGAAATGTACTTTGTGATAATTTAGCCGAGTAAGGCCTAAACACAATATCCAAATTGTAAAGAGTAATTTGTTTATAAAAAAAGAGAGAATAAAAAGGAGTTATCTCTGATAATGAGTAACTTTAAGGTATGAAGAGTTAGAGACCTTCTTACAAATACCTTAAACGTGGGGGAGTATGCCCAAGTGTTAGCAAATTACTTACTAAAGTCCCAACATGTACAGTTGAGGACTTGACATTCTAAACAACTACTCTCGTATGAAATATAATTTCATAAAATAGATTGTGTTAAAGATAGTCAACCTAAATGGTACCAAATATTAAAGGTTTGACTAGAGAGTAAGTCAATCATCGAGGGGAATGAAGCTAAAGCCAACACAACTAATGAATCAGCTGGGCAGAAACCTAACTTAGTTGATTGGAGATCCCATAGTCTAAGTTCAATAGGCAAACTGGTTGGGCATGATTCAAAGAAGTTAACACACTATATGCCTCATTCCTATGATGGAAGAAGTGTGTTGTCTGCAGAAGTTTTAGGATGTATATTTATATTTAATGACAGTGATATCTTATAAATAAGAGGAATAGAGCAAACTATTCTTAATCAGTGGTCATCTATGTGAGAGTAGAAGTGGGTCGCTTCTATGAGTATGAGATGGCTAAATTCTCTAAAACTCTTATGAATTCGGGATTTGTTCAGGACCATAATGAACACAACCGTATGAACCGTAATATATTAGGATAAGAGCTGTATGTTACTTATTCTCTCGGTTTATTGGTGCGGTGAACAATTCAAGATCTTCCAGATCAACTGCGTCACCAAGTAAATCCGATAAGTATTCACTAAGGTTCAAGTCCAAAAGACATCTTTCCCGATGCATCTCTTGTTCGCTTGTACTCTCAAATTCTTCCTAATTTTTCATTTATGTAGGGAATTGTTGGAATTTATATATTATAATACTATTAGTTATAATATTTAATTCAATATTTGAATGAAAAATGCTTTAACCGTTTGTATTAAACCGTCTTGTCATTAAGTGGATGCCATCTTATACAAAGTGGCACCACATTGAGTATGGACCTTTTAAATGGCGCCATCTAAAAGATGTAGTATGCATCACTTCGTCAATCAATGTCTTCGGTATTATGTTCCAAGTTTGTTAGTATTTCTAACTTTCTCACTGGTTTTTATTAATCTCATATATAATTGGTATTGTCATTTTCTCTATGATTACTTTCATTGAAATTCTTTTATTATTTTCATATTTTCTAATATTGTTCTAACATTGTGTGTTTGAAGATGGCTCAAGAATATAGGACATCATCTAAGTGTGATATCTTGTTGAATAATCTATGTGAGCCTTTGGGAGCATGGGATAAACCAATATTAACTATGGTGTAGAGGATTACGACATGTCTAATGGTCAGAATGGCAAGAATGAGAGAAGCAGCAGTTAAGTGGAAAAATGAGGTTGGCCCTAGAATATATAAAATGGTTGAAAAAAAATAAATTAGAAAGTGGTTCATGTATTGCTTGGTTGTCTGGTGATAAGGAGTACCAAGTGAAGCATATGAGCGGAGCTCAATATGTGGTTGATTTAGTAAAACACACATGTACATGTAGGAGGTGGGATCTCACTGGAATTCCTTGTGCTCATGGAATTGCTGAAATTTATAGAAGGGAAGACGATCCATACAAGTATATTCATTCTTGTTCCAAGAAAGTAGCATACTTGAGAGCCTACACTCATTATATCCATGCCATGCCTCGTCAAGAATTTTGGCCACCTACGAATCACCAACCCATTGCACCTCCAAAGTATCATAAGCAAGCTGGTAGGCCAAGAAAGGTGAGGGCAAGAGAGCAAGATGAGCCACAACCACCATCAACCTTAAACAAATTGCCTAAATAATGCTTCAGCAAGGTCACTTGTGGAATGTGCGGCAAGAAAGGTCATAATCGTACAACATGCGGCAAGATGCAACAACAAGCTTCGCAGGTAAAAGTAGCTTAATGGTTTCATTTTTAGTCACATATGGTTGTTATAAATTGGGGATTATCAACTGATAGGCTATGGAGAAGCTGGGAGGGGACAAACTTGTGGGACAAATGAAATTGGCCATAACTCACCAACTACTGAAAGTGGGCAAACACAAGCAATGATGTGCTCGTTGAAAACTTTGATATTTTGAAATTTTAATCTTGTATTCATAGGCGGATGTATGTGTAACTCTTTTATTGGTCATTTTGTTGCATGCCACGGGGGGAAATATGGGAAGTGAAACTTCACCAAATCAGGGACAAGAACTATCTGCCTCTAATGTAATTATGTAAGTTCTTTTGACCTATGTCTTTGTCCCTTTCTTGTGTGTGCTTTAATAACCCAATGCTATTTGTTAATTTTTTTTTTTTTTAATATTGTTTGTAGGTTTCTAAAAGGGTTAGAGTGAAACAAAATGCAAGAGGCTAGTCAGTGCTGTCACGCCCTGATCCCGACATGCGTCCAGGTTCAACACGTGGCGTCACCAAATACCTGTATATCTAACATGCCCCGCCTTTGGGATATATGTACCAAGCACAACTCATGCCTCTAATTGCGTAGTAATTTTTTGTACAATTATGGCTACATCTAACGTCCCATTAGACTGCCTACGTACCCTAACCAGGAATCAAGCCATTCATAGTTAACCTTTCACGACATTCAAACATTCATCACATAAATCATTATGTCTCAACAATATACCACAATGCATATCATGCAATATTTCAAAGAATAAATAACGAAGCACAATCATATTCTCTAACCATATTGATCAACAAGTCTAATCATAATGGCAACAATCACAACCAACATCATTCCACAATCACATCATC